CTGGACAACCTTTGATACAGGAAATTTCCTTAAAATCGAGTCTGAATGTGTTTCCTGTAGGAATAAAGTTTGAACTGGAAGTGAAATAGACAATTCTCTGTATAGAAAACAACATAATATAACATGTAATTTGATAGATTAAAGCCTTGGGTTTCTTTTGGTTATGTGTAATATAGTATTCAAAATCAGAGAGAATTATTGGCAATTTCTGAAAGAAAGAATGTGACAGAGGGAATGGCAAGAGGGGTCTGATTTTATGGCTCAGTATCTAAATAAGATTTAAGGATATAAATATTATGCTTTGCCTGAACAATGACAACATTCTGGTGACTAATTTACATTACATCTCATACTTCCTAGAAGGGTGATAGATAAATAGGAAAAGAGGGGATGTCTAGAGAGAAAATGTCACAATTCTCACACTGAGGGAAATTCAGAATTTTTTTAACATTGTCATATAAAATTATGAAATTAAAACTTATATGGTAATATAATTAAGATTATTAGCTACATTCTTATGCCATGATAATATAGTAGTTTAATTAAATTTTGAATGACACTCATCAAAACCTCATAACATGACGTAAAAAAAAAAAGAGTTAAAAGGATGCCATTCAATATCAACATCATACAAGTTTATGCACCAACAACAGATCAAACAGAAGATCATGAAGGATTTTATACTGAGTTAGAACAATCAAAATATCAAAGCATCATAAATTCTACTAGGAGACTTTGTTGAAAAAAACTGGAAAAGATGAGGTGGATAATATAGTTAAAAGAAATGATCATTGGAAATACTTGGCTTCACCAACATCCAAGGTGTCTTTGGACATGGATAGGTTCAGGAGATCATACTAGAAATCAAATCCAGAAGTTCAGAAATACATTACAGGCACTAAAACTTATCCTGGCACTGACTGCAATAGTAATCATGAACCAGTAGGTGAAACTGAAAAAAAACACCAAAAATAACTCAATTAGCCATGGATCTCTTACAACCTGACATAACAACAAAATTGAAATTAAAAATAGTACTTCAAACCGCTTAGAATGCTTTGTCAAACACTGAACAAGTACAATCTCAATGGAAACAACTAAAAGTTTCAATCACTCAGTCAACACACCCCCACCCCCCCCAGAAAAAATAGAGAGAGAAAAAGCAGATATAGGTGGATAACAAAAAACATTTGATCTGATGGAAAAAAAGAAGACAAACAAAGGCAGATAATGAAAAATATAATACATTTAACAAAGAGATAAGATGTAATTATAACAAGGCAAAAGAGGAATGGCTTGAAAGTTAACATTTTTCCTAAACTGAAAATATATTTCCAATAGATACTTACCAATACTCACAAAGTTTTCTTGCCTTATACTGCCCTCTATCAGCACAAATATTTGTTTGCCACTAGCCTTAATACTCCCACTTACCCTCAAATATGTTAACGTGAAATATCTGCATATTAAAGTGCAAATAATTATGCAGCAACCCTTCACCAATAGGAGTGTGACACTACCCCTATTGTAACTAGCACCCTCTCTAATCTTGCAGCTGTTAACCAATACGAGATTGTTCAGATCACACAAACCACAACAGAAGTGGGGAGGATGGGTAGGAAAGGTGAGTGGAGGTACCTATCAGAAATACATTTTAAGTTTAGGAAAATGTTAATTTCTGATATATCTTGCCTCTTCTCACAAAAAGCTAGAATCCCACACTGAACAGGTGGAGGGCCAGTGATAAGATGACCGCACTATAGGAAGCACCCCAATGAAAACCATGGAGTGTGAGAAGGAACTAAAAACAACAGACTTATTGGAGACCACATTACTTCTGAGCTAGGTATAATCTTCCCCCATTAGTAATATATCACCAAAAATGGTGAAAATATAAGGAGGGGCCCCAAGAAAAGTTACAGAAATAGTGGGACCCCTGGGGGTACATTGGCTAGGGCATGAAAGATTGTAAAGGGGAGTTTGACCTCAACCAACACCTGATGGCATCTGGAATTGTACATTAGTTCTGCAGAAGGATGAGGGTACTCTACCTTTTACCTTAAGAACAGATACCAGCAAAAAAAAAGAAGCTTCCATACCAACACCAGATCCACAGAGAACCAACATCTGGAAGATGGAGGGCCCAAATGGGTGATCATCTCCAGTCCAAAACCTAGCAGCATTGGGAATTTTTCGTCTATTCCATGATAGAAGAAGGGTATCCAACCTTACACCTGCACGAATTCATGCGTCTTGTTCAGCTACAACAAACACCAGACCCACCGAGAACTGATATCTAGCAGACGGTACGAAAGAGTGACAGCTATATGGGGTGCATTTCCAGTCCAAAACCTGGCAGCATTGGGAATTTATTGTCCAGTCCATGGTAGAAAGAGAGTAACCATCTAAACACATGTGAGGACTTAAGTGGATGGTCTGGCTCCAAGCAAAACCAGATCCACCAGGAACCGGCATCCAGTAGGAAGGAGGGCGCCTCAGCTAGAGGGGCAAACTGCAATATATGGCAGAATGCTACATCCAACACCTGACGGCATCTGGAATTGAACATCAGGTCCAAGGTAGGAAGAGACATCACACCATTTATGCTGGCATAATGTCACTGCCTTACTCTCAACTGAGTGGTACTGTGCACACACAGGTAACTATCCAAACACATGTGAAAACTTGTGTGCCTGGCCCAGCTCCAACCATCACCAGATCCACTGGGAACCAGCATCTGGTGGATGGTAGGAAGGAACGTGCATCAGCAGAAGAGGCAAACAGCAATATATATATATATGTGTGTGTGTGTGTGTGTGTGGTGGAGTGCTACATTCATCATGTGGTGGCATCAGGTCCATGGTAGGAAGGGCGTTACACCATCTACACCAGCAAAATACCATCACCCTACTCTCAACTAAGTGGTGTTGTGCACAGTCAGGAGGACAGGCCTCCATGGTCCACTACCACAGCAACTAGGAACTGGTAAGTGGCAAGGACTCCCATACTCCACCAGAAGAAGGAGGGAAAAATGCATTGGATAGTCTGAAGGACTGCAGCACTGGAGACAGTGCAATGGGCAACCTTGATACCCTATTTGGAAAAGCAGAGCAATCACATTGATGGAGTGCATCACCCATTACCTGGCAGCACCTGGAATTATACATCAGGTCCACAGTAGGATGAGCATCAAATGCCCTGGATCATCAGAGATGCTGTCTACTTTACTCATGTTACTCCTTGAGTGTATGGTCTGGGACAAACATATTTATCAAGCATAAGACCATTAGGAATTCCTACGAATGGTCCTGTGGAGTGCCTCATCTCAACAGTGGGCATAATATGATCTGCTTATGTGTTATAACATTGCATTTTGAAAGCACATATAACTTGTTGATGGAAGCGATCAACTAACACCTGGCAGCATCTGGAATTGTACATCAGGCTTGCAGTAGGATGGGCAACGTCACAGTCATCTAGCATGGTATATGAATACAAATCTTACAGTGCAGATTTAAGATTAACTATCTCAACACAGGTTCAGTCAATCTGACTGACAACATGACCTATATGTACTTGTTTAAAGTCTTTATAGATTTAAGACTTCTAACTTTCAATATATTATGTATTTCTTCACAAAATTTGGGAACCTTTCAGTTAATATTATAAGTCTTTCACATACAAAAAATAATATTTTTTTATTGAAGTATTTTTAATAAAATAAAGATTTGTCCATGAATATATGGAGTATTTGTTTTGAATAGTTCGTGTACAAAGTAATTTTTATATTAAAGTTAAAAATACTTTTCCTCCTCTCAAAAATTTCAAATTTACTTTGTGTAATCCCCAAAATCTCCTAAATGTATTTTAAACGGTTTTTTTCTCAGTAAAACTTTATAGTTTATCTGTTATTCTATCTACCCTATCTAAAAACAGAATCGGTCAATTCAACCGACCTCGTAACCACCAAAGAAAAAATCTAAATAAATCTAAATTACCCTTTTTTTTCTTTCTAGAATGACTTCAAATTGTAACATGAAACTACGTTTGTTTATCCTATGTAGCTCTATGTTTGTAACAGTATACATCTATTTATAATTAATTTTATTATTTTATTGCCCTTGAACTGTGTCTAAATACTATCCATGCCATTGTAAGTTGTAACTCACTTGGGGAATATGCAGCTCATGTTACACTAACAAATTACATTACCCATTAGCTACTAAGAGCTGCTTGCATGTGTGCCTCCTGAAACATTTTGATTATAATATTAATATTATTTATTTTACCTAATCAAATCTAATCTTAACTAATCTAAAAGGATCCCTATTTTTACATTTTAGTTACTTTTATAATTATACATAAAGAATAAACATGAAAAACAAGAAATAAAATACTTAACCAATCTTCCTTTTCCTTGCTGTCAATTTTCAATGACATTTAACCCTACTTTTTAATACTAATGGTAGTAATGCACTAAGTAATTTTTTTATTTTAAATAATTCACCGAAGAACATAGATTAATAACATGTAAAAAAGATGAAGTTACGAAAGCAATCAAGATGATAAAGAGAAAAGCAACACATACAGGTAAAATCATAACTGAAATGGTTCAACTCTTGGAAGAGTTTTGAACTGATGTCATCATAGAACTCCTGAACAAGATATATGTAACTGACAGCATGCCATCTGAAATGTCAAAATCATTTCTTATTGCATTGCCTAAAAACCCAGAAGCAGTTGAGTGTGAGTCATACAGAACAATAAACATTAAGAGCCACATAACCAAAATCCTAATGAGAATAGTCATGACCAGAGTGAGAAACAAAATAAACCCTGAGAAACTAGGAGCATAATGCAAACGTGTTGAAAGTAAAGAGACAAAAAACACAATATATATATATATATACTCTGAACATTAACAGAAAGAGCAGTTGAAGTACAAAAAGATTTATACATATAATGAGTAATGTGAGTTATATACAAATAATAGAAATTACCTCATTCTTTTGCGGAAGTATACTAGAGTTCTCTTCTTCTGCTACACAAAACTGTGAAATGGTATGTGAAGATCTTTTTTCTAACGAATCAGCTTCTCCTGTTGCTATATGTATAAATAATACACATTTGTCTATAAAAACAACTCTGAATATTATTCATTGCTAAATTACAATAAAAGTTCACACATTGTAATGATATATCAATAATGTGTGTGTGTTGGGGGGTACTGTCTTGGATATACATGTACCTGTCAATCTTCAATCTAACCTATTTTAAGTCAGTCGGATTTCACTTGGAATATGTGGTGTTGAAAACTGAAGAAAACAGAGATGACTTATTTTTATATTCTCAAACACTAACACTTTAAAGACATTAAAATAAGGTTCGATGGAAAATCCTGTCCTTCCACAAGAAATGAGGATAGTCAAGTTAAATGTCTACTAATATCAGCAGTTGCTTTTATTTTCTGTCCAAGTCCTTTATATTAGTATGTTTTATTTTGTGAAGCATGAATTTTTTAAGTCAAGTGTGATTTCATATGAACTTTCTAAGAGCTGTGTCAATATCACTCAATAACATTCAACAAATACAATGGAAAAACATTTGGGCTATTCTGGTTAAACATTTTAAAATGTAAAATATCATCATACAAAAAGACTTGTGAGGGACAAAAGATATATTCACAATCCTATTTTTACTTGCCTTTGCTTTTCAATCTGAAATGGACAAATTAAGAGGAATATGGAAAAACATATGCACTTAGTGATTCTTATCACAAATATCTAATACTATTATGATGTTACTCTATTGGCAATAGCAACACTCCTATTTAATTATGAATAGTTCAAGCTAAATAGGAAACACCAGAAAGGAAAATTAAAAGTCTGATTGTCATCACATGATATTTAAACACTGTCTTATACAGTAAGCTTTAAATTGTTTAATTTACTGATTTCTCAGCATGCACGGGTTTCTACAGTTTCTTTAAGCCTATACTGTAAAATGTAAACATATTAATTCTCAATTTCTCAATTAAAAGCTTATGATTTTTTATGCTTGTAAAGTTAATTTTTTAACTTACTCACACTGATGATAAGTAGACAAAAATCTAGAAACATTTGTAATTAAAAGATTCATTTTGATATCATCATGATTTTAATATTTCTATAATTCTTTGATTTCCACATTATGAATGATTTTTAATCTCTGCAAAGAAATCATCTAATATCAACATGATAAATATTGTATTATTTTTGCTTTTCTAGGATCAAAGTGAATTTACTTTCATTGAATTATATATTATATGTGCTGTGACAAGAATCTTTACTAGTTTTATCATATAAAATCCAAAAACATTATTTTAAACCAAGTATTAATTAATTTAGTTTTAGCAGTCTTGTTAAAACTTGTAAGGAGAAACCCAAGAAGTGGTATTAAGTGTACTTTCAGCTTGTTACGGGGTGCAAACTACTTGTGCAGATGATGCATTTTCATGTGTAATGGTTTAGGATAATAAAGCAACTTAATCTTCAATTCTTTACCTAAAGATATTTATGATATGAAACTTTAAAAAGTTGAAAATAGCAAGGTTAGTCTCATGCGAGAATAATCAAGTAGTTAAATATAATCAATTAATGAGTCTGACAATTCCTCAACTATCAAATTCCACTTATAGCCAAACTCTAATAAACTTAACCACAGCTCTCCTCTTTCTCACCTTCAAAGTGAGTTATTGCACTTACTTCAGTATGAAGTATATAAATTCTGTTCTCCCACTGTAATCTAGATTTAGTAGTTACAATCATGATGAAACCAAATATCTTCCAGTTGTCAGGAGGTGGATGAGAATGTATTTCAGATGTAAGGACCTAATTCAAACCAATTTTAGTGCTAAAAAATTACAGTTCAAAACTAACTGATTAGATCTTTCAAATTTAAACACCCACACAGAGTTGAAGGACAGAACCAAACAAAGTCATAATGACCACTGGATCACTAAAAACTATATTTCTTAGGGATGAAGGTAACAACCTAGACCACAACAATTGAAAGTGTGATCAAACAGAGTTGAAGGGACTACATAGTCAGAGTAAATTCATGGGAAAATGAGTAGAGCAAACCAGCTTCATAAGAGACTGAACCAAATAAAGACACCCAGAAAATGCATTCTTCAAGCCCCCATCACACTTTAACTAATGTTTAAAAAGGGAGAATCAGGTAGTATGTATTTAACTGTGGAAATGTAACATTTTCAGGTGTGGTCACAGGTAATCAGGGTTCAAATTCTAATGCACTATCCCATACTTCAAGGCTCTCAGATGAATATATCAGTAACAGCTAATGACTGGACACATTCCTGGGGCTTAGAACCCCTGTCTCCAAATCTTACAATGCCAGCCAAGTCACGAAACTGTCACTATAAGTGAACACCCAGAGGAAATAAAAAAGAATATGCAGACCCATGGATAGGCTCAACAACTTAAAGACAATGCAGTGGGAACACCAAATAGGTTAAAAAAGATAAATATAAAGAGTTACGCAAAGAGTTTCACAAACCATAAGCAAAGAAGGTGGAATTTTGTCTCACATAACCACAGAAGCTTATGTAACATACAAAAGTCCTGACATGGAGTTTCATCATAAGAAGAAATTGTTTTTTAAATCAACTGACTTTCCAACTCCAGATGCCCTGTAAGTGTTAGAATGAACATAGGAGCTTACAGTGAAAGTGGAAGAGAATTCACAGTTCTGTAAACAATCAGTGCAGTTTTTCGTCATTTTGAATTGCATCACGGTGATTCATTTTTAATGTAACACTAATCCCACACGTAGATTGGTGTTTTAAGCACTTTTGCAAATAAATACACCTACAGTGTGGAATAGATAGCTGAAGTTCTTCAATTATGCAGCTGTATATTATACTAGGTTTTTACTGTTGAAAGTTAAAATAAATGTTTCAAAAAATATGATTTTTTTTATCCCAACATACATGCAATAAGTGGGTTACAAGCTTACTCATACTTTTGCTCCAAAAGCATGAAGACTTGTATTAATAGGTAACAAATTCTTTGATCTTACTTGCACAGATCAACTACCTTGCTACACTTGGAGATACTGATCTAGACGACATAATGCAAAGAAATATGAAGCACCTCACCAGTAACAACCTGATGGTTAACTATTTAAATACAAGGCTTCAAAGAAATTTCAGAAACCTGCCCATCTGTAGAATTGTCATAAGAAAACATGTAATTATTGTGCAAATATTGAATCTGTATCTATCTTTATTCCTTGAAGTTCAGTCTTCAAAGGACTCTTTGCATAAAAATTAATACAGTGGATATTTGTAGCATATAAACCAGAAAGTTTACAACACATAGAAGAGGATATATATAAAACAAGAGTGCTTTTTTCCTCTTTTTTATTTCAATAAAATTTTACAGAATTTGTATTATTTTTAGAAATATTTTTGAAATCATTGATGCATAATTATTAATAATATATATTTTTTTTAATTTTGCAAAACATTGCTATGTAAAACTTTTGTTTGGATAAACATCTTAGGAACAAATTTTGTTCTTAATCTGCCAACCTCATTTGTAACCTTCAGTTTACATTCCTACATTCTTTAAGTTTGGTTATATATTTCTTACAAACTATTTTGAAACAGTGCATTACTACTGTATATTTCTTGCTTTACAAAAAAATTAAAATAGCTTTAAGAATAATTTGTGTAACATATTGACTCTCTTTTGTTTTAAAACATTTCAGCTGATGCAAGAAAGTCCACATGTAAGAAATGCAAGACATGCAACTAAATTGTTCATTACTGTGGTACCGATAGATCAGTTGTTATAGTTTTGTTATGTATCTGCTCGTTTGTTAATTTTCTGTATAATTCTTTCCAAGGAACTTCAGCAATACAAGTGCTTTCTTAATTACAACTAGTTTATTCTTTCTTGATACAACTTTTTAGTGATTCACACATTTTACTTATGGTGCTTATTGTTCGCTTGACTCAATTATCTATTTCTTCAATCTATCTATAGCTGGCTTTATTTGCCGGGCTAATATACTAAAAAGAGGGAGTCTAACAAACACTGGGACATTCGTGGGGTTCCTCAATAAGTCATGATGCTTCAAGAAACTCCAGCATGCTCCCAGCATCTCGTAATTTCCACTGTCGTAACACTGCCCATTCCTTAGTATTGTTCGTCCCAAACAATAGCCACTTACAT